GGACAGTGACTCCATTGGGGTTTGGGTGGGGACTTGATAATATGGGTAAATGTAGTAACCACATGGTTTTTTCATGTGAACGCTTCATAAGAGTGTATATCAATCATACCTTAATAATAAATAAATAAAACTAGTTTGTGGTGTTTGCACAACTCTGTAAACTTAATAAAAATCACTGAATTGTATACTTAAAACAAGTTAATTTTATGGTATGTGAATTATGCCTCAAAAAAGATGCCTAAAAGCACATCACCTTTAAAAAATCCACAATGACTATTAAATAAATTCCAAACTAGGAACTACCTAGCATATTGCAGGGCCAATAAGGCTAAAAATAGCTATTCAGAAATAAAAAATATATACATAAGATTGGAATATGATTGTAACTACCTATAATTATAAATATTAAAATAACAACAAATAGTTATAGTAGCACTTAATGTGACACACATTATTCTAAGTGCTTTACAAGTATTTACTCATTTAATCCTTCCTACAGTGCAGTTTGCCCACTGTACACATGGACAAACTAGGCACAAACAGGATAAAATAGATCTTGCTCAAGATCACATTCCATATGAATGGACTTGCGATATTGGGTATTGGGATAGCAAACAATTTTTCTTCACTTTACACAAATATCTTTAACATTACTATTATATTACTGTGCATTGAAAAGGAGAATAGTGGACATCATTCATTGCCTACTCAGTTTCAACTCACCCTTCCAAATTCTTACCCAGATTTTTATTTGTGCATCTACCCCTCCCCATACCTATGTACTTCAGAGAAAAATGACCCCATCCTTAGGTATAGCAGTTGACCATGGTTTGCTTAAGCCAATCAGCACATTTCAGAAGCCAGTTTACTGGTCCAGCAGTGCAATCAGGACTGCTGTTTAGACTGTTAGGACAGAAAGGCTCTCTCTCAAGAGATGTGAACAAAAATACATATGGTCCTACATGACACTGTCAGTCACCCTACAACCATGGCAGGAACAGCAATAGACTGTAGCTGACACAGAAAACAATAGAAAGGAAAAGAAACTGGTCTTTAATATTATTGTGTTACTGTTAAGTCTTGCCCTACCTTTGAACTTTCAGATAAATGAGCCTATAAATCCTTTTTATTATGTTTAAAACTAGTTCGAGCTTTCTATTAGTTATAACATGAAGTATAAATTGATGTGGGGGGAGGTGTAAACCCATTAACAAGCATACTTCTAGAGTACATTACTCTTAATCCTTAAATTTATGACAGCAGGTATTAAGGAGGAAGTAAGTTTAGAGACACACTTCAAAATAAAAACACGTTGAATGAGTATCTTTCTAGTGAAGGTTCATTTAAAAGCTTGAAAAGTAACTACATGCAATTTTATGTCCCACACAGTGTATTTTAATATTTTAACTTGACATTTTAAAATGTTATTTTTTAACATCTAGATTTCCAATTCTCCCTGAAAAATCAAAAGGTATGACACCATTGGGTCCATGATACTGCAGAACAATCAGTAGAATGAAATAGCATCTGCCCCTTTAAGTCTACAAGTACACCCTCTGCACAGTCAATACAAATGGAGCTGTTGTGTGGGCTTCCTGCAGGTAGTAAGAGTTTGCACAATTAATATTATCAGGCCCTGTATCAAATGTCATATAATTAGTGAAAAATTATATTCTACCTTTTAAGTGTTAACATTTTAATTAAAATCATACATTTTTTAAACAAAAAAATATCATGAGAACATTTATTTGTCACTGGTCCATGGGAAATAGTATTACTTAATTAAATAGGACTGGATACCTTGAAATAACCTGATGGAAGTCAAACTCAACAACAAATTCCTGAAAACATGCCAATACATTAATTATTCTGTGTTCAAGAGTTTCACAAATTATTTTAACATACAGAAGACAAAAGAAAATGGTTTTAAACTGCAACAAGAAAAATACAAAAATTGAGAAGTCTGAACCACTTCTATACACAGGCATACCATTAATCAAAACTTATCTATAAAACAGATTTACAAAAGAAATTGAGAAATATGGTAAATTTTAAAGGAACTTATAATAAAATAAGGTCAAGCTACATTAGGAAAGTTGGGAGTTAGCACTTCATAAAGAAAGATCTCTGGAGCTATGCGTCTCTACCACTATATTGGACAACTCTAGGGGAGGGAAGGTAAATTTTAACTGCACAAACCTTATAGTTTAAAGTACCTAATACGTAATCAGTTAAAAAAGAACATGCCTTAATAAAATGCTTGAAAAATAAGAAAAAGTTATGAAACCCATAAATAAGTTTAAACTTAGTAATGAAAAATCCAGTGAAGAAAGGGTAAAGGAGGACCACACCTAAGGATTAGGGATACTGGTAATAAACTCAGTTAGATGGAAGGTTCACCTAGTTCATACTGTTAGAGTATTTCATTACTACACGTTAAATATTCCTTTGTCTTTATCCTTTTCTTCACAATTTTAGAAATTTTAATCCAATGTACTGGCTGTAAAAAAAGTTAATGATCAACTTTGTGCATTCACATTCTTAGTGACAAAAGTGATTGAATGACCTGAAAAATGTTTTTTTACCTTTAAGGTCTTTATTAAACGGTTTTTTGAAAGCTACTTTAATGTTAAGTAAGAAAGGAAATCTACTGTTGGAGGTCTCATCATTAATTTAGCAGGCCAAGGATTTTTATTTCCTTAACACTGTGGGAAAACTGTCTAAACTTTAAATACCTGCTTTAAATAACTGCAAACAATTGTACATCAACTCAAGAGACAGATGTATTCTTGGAAAGGCTGGCATCCTAAGAATCACCAAATTGTAGGTAATCTATTTAACTTTTCGGTGTCTTGGTTTCCTCATGCATAAAATGAGATATATGTATTAAAGAGTTGTTGGAAGAATTTTAAAAAATATATGTAAAACACCTGACCAGTTGACTGGCACATAGTAAATTAGTAGTAACTTTTTATTAATCATACTTATTATTAATGTAATTTCCTTCCTTGAGTATAATCAAGACTAAGGCTGATAACTATCAATTAGGAAATATTTAGGTGCGGCAGTACTAACAACACTGAAATAGACTAGCTTACCAGATTCCAAACATTTCAGTTCTCAAGATTTTCTAAAGTCTGGCCAAGACTCTAGATATCCCCAAAAGACCATGAAAAGTACTGTAAAGGAGAATGGAAGGAGAGGAACCAATCTAATCCTCTCAGCAACGTTCTGTGCTTTACATGAGAAGAGAATTATGGTGATGAGGAGGTGTGATACAACAGATTTTCCCTCTCCTTCTACGCGGTCACCTATTATTGCCCTACAAACTCATAGCTGTGAAGCACTTAACCAATAACCTGAAAATCCCCACCAGGCCTAAGTTCTAGGCAGCATACAAGCAAACTATCACTACAGAATTTGGAAGTTCCTTAATAAAATGCATGTGACTCATGTTTGGTCATCCACCTCTACACAGAGAAGTTCGAATCCTCCGTCTGCCAAAGAAATGTTGTACTTCACACACAAACAACTAATTATAGTCTATATCACCACCATGGATTTCTGTTTATCAGCCAAAGTACATGAGGTTTAGAAAAAGATTTTAAAAATCACACAGGAAAGTTCTCAGGTCTTGAAGTAAGATGTAAAGGAACAATCAATTTACCATTTATTTCCTTGAAACTCACAAACTTTTTAAAGACCCCACACACACAAAATCCCCAAAATGTTAATTAACTGTTGAAGCTAGACAATAGATACCACAGTTCATAATATTCTCTATTTTTGTGTATATTTGAACATTTCCATAATATACAGCTTTAAAAATATGTATGTGTGTGTCTATATTTATACACAAGCTCCCAACACAACAAACTGGTAGAGAAATACCCTACTGTTCAAAGTTTTCATATTCCAAGAATAAGTGAATTTCATCTGGCTACCTTCTCATTCTAGAAATTGTATTGCAGGTGACCGGACTATTATTTAAGGTCCAGTGAAGGAAATAATTAACTGCCCCGGAATAAAACAAGTCTAACCTTGAAAACAGAGACAAAGGGGAAAGGTGCTAAACACTCATTACAGTTATTACATTCATATTTGTTCCCATCTGTTATCTAACACAAGTGAGCAAGTAGAAAAGGGTAAAGTATTTCAAGGCCAAACTTACTTTTTATTCCTTAAGGTGATAAGCACAGACACTGGAATAAAAAAATGTAAAAAGTCCCCTAGAAATAATATCCATTTCTAAGAATGGAACTGGGAAAAAGTAAAGTATTGCATATTTTAAAAATTAGGTTTATAGCTCATAATAGCAAAGCCAGCAACTTCCAATGACAAAATATGCTTTACTGCTAGACATAAATTTACAAAAGAAATAACACTATATGCACGCCACAATCCTCTCTTCAAACTGCCATTCAATTTTCACAAGATGTAACCCTAAATCATTCCAAAATTTAACTTTTCTTAATTATGCCTAACAATAAAACTAGTTAACATTTAAAATAAACACTAACTCATCAACCCTATGAACAAAACGTTTGTATTTAAAACTTAAGGCAAGGCAACTTAGGCAGATTCAAAAGAGTAAGGACTACCACTTAGATTTTTTCTCAAGTCCAAGAATAGGTCACAAGAACTTATTTAAAACGTCAATGGAAAATGGAGACTTAGTTATACTTCCCAAGAAAAAAAAATGTATAGAATAAAAACTTCTCCACTGGAACCCCCAACGACCACCAAATACTTCCGCAGCAACATTTCCTTAGTACAAAAGTGATTTGTTCACTTTCACAAAACCTGGAGCATCTAAATTTACATAATTCCTCTGAAACTGAAAGATACAAGAAAATGTTTCATTTAGGTCAGTAGAATTTTGTGTTTCTATCCATGGAAAAAGCCATCACCCGTCTGAGTAAAGCACATGGCTCCTGCTTTAAGGTCTTGTTCCCAATCCAAGGAGAAAGGATCTGCTTATAAAAGAGATATTTACTTACCAGATTAAAGACGGTTTCTACAATATCTCTGTTGGATACTTCTCCAACTTCAACCAGTCCCGCCAACACGGCAAATTTCATCCTGACGCCCCTGATGGGGAGCCCTGGTTTCAGCGACAAGGCGCCCTCTTCGGCAGAGGCTTCTTCTCCCTTCCCTCCACCTCCCCCGTCGTCACCTGTTGGTGGCGGGGAAGGGGCATTACTGGCCTCACTAGCCATTCCAGTTCACGAGAAAGGGCAACTCCGAGTCACTCTGGGACAGCAACTGCTGCTGCACTAGTAAGGAGCACACACACGCGATGCGAAACGAAAAGGGTCACGCTCCCAAGTTGTGGAGAAACCCCAGAAGCGATTGATGTGGAAAGTCCTTGGCGTCACTCCCCTGCTCTTGGAGAATACTTATCCAATCTCTCTCCCCGAGGCTGACAACAACGCCAAACCCTATTGGAAGATCAGATTAATGTTAAATAGGCTAGGTTTTCTTTCAGGGGGCTTGGGGGCTGGAGGGGGACAGCTGTCCGTCAAGGAAGTTACTGAAGGGACCCCACTCCCAGCCGCCCGCTTCCCCAGGCTCGCGGAGCGGGGCTCCGAGCGAAGGCGGGCGTCAGGCCCCCGCACAGGCTCGCTCCTCCCCCACCCGCTCGCAGGAGGCGCAGGGCGGCCTCTCCTCACAGGTGCACGGAGAGAAGCTGTCGCTGGGAAGGAGAGGTCGGGAGGAAGCAGGGGGCCCGCAAGCTCCCTCAGGGGAAAGTTCCTCCTCACCCAGACACTCCGGACTGTCCTCACGCCCCTCCGGGGAGCCGCGAGACGGAGGTGGCGGCGAAGATCCAGGGCAGGAAACGGCGGGGGGAAAGGGGCGGTGATTATTCTCCACGCTCGGCCCAGGGGGAGGAGTGAGGCGCCCCTCAGGCACCTGAGGTTCGACGGAGAGAAGAGGGGCGGTGTGTGCAGTGGCTAGAAGGGAGGAGAGGCCCGCGGCGACGGCGGGGGGAGGAGGGAGGAGAGTCAGGGCACCTGGTCGCAGCCGCCAAGTTTCCCTAGTCTGCTCCCCGGGAGTCCGCGGCTGCACAGAACTCCACGGCTTGCTGGCCTGCCCCACCCCTGCGCTCAGCCTTTGCAAAAACGGCCGCTGCAGACGCTAGGCCGCCGCGGCTGAGGCGGCCGGCGATCGTGAGGATGCTACTGCCACACTCCGCTACGGCTCGCGCGGCTGTTCTCAAACCCACTGAGGTTGCTCCCCGCCGCCATGACAGCGCTGAGGGCCGCCGGGCGCGGCGTGCGCGTGCGCGAGCGCGCGGGGCGGGGGCGGGTAGTGGGGCGCGTGGCGCCCAAGGGGCCTGGGGAAGGCGGGGGCGCTGGGCGCGTGTCGGGGTGGGACCGTGAGCCGGCACGCTGCTCGAACACCACCTGGTGTCGCCCGGCCCTGCCAGGGCAGACGCGCCCTCAAGGAACCGGCTCTTCCCCCACCCGGTGGGGGACGGTGCCGTGGCGGGGGCTGAGGCGGTGATGCTGCCGCGCCTAATGTTGTTAAGTTACCGGAGGGTCTCCCGGCGCGAGGGAGCCCGCCCCACGTTACCAAGGTGTTTCCTTGGGCTTGGAGAAGGACACCAGAGGGACCGCTCGGAGCGAGAGAGGCTGCTGTCCTTGCTTAAGGGGAGCAGAGTCCCCACTCCTGATTGCTTTCAGCTGCTGCCTGCCGGCTGCGCTCGACGAAGACTTGGAAAGCGATTTCCACTGGGATGCCCGGCAGCTGCCACAATTCGGAGACGGGGCGGGAGCACTCGAGTCGAAGAGGAATAGGGAAATTCCTGGCTCTGCAGCTGCCGCCCCACCAACCCTCTCCCACATTCTAAGGAAGGGAGGATTCCTGAGGCAGCTGCTCCAAATAGCCGGGAGGCGGGGTTAATTGGTAGATTTCTAAGTGCTTTTTTTTACCCCTCTCGTAATTTTCCAATGTGAAAGGTTCGCCTTATTCTCAGATGGGTTTAAAAGATAAATTGTATTAGGATCAAAACCAGCACAGATCATCGTGTGCCCTTGCTTTCAACTCCCACTATTAACAGTAAAGCATTCTTCCTGATGCATTAGTTAGAAACAGAGAGGAACGTGGTTTTTCAACCCATGGTACTCTTTTAAGTCACAAGGCCTCTTAAAAAATAATGTTTAATATACTCACTCCCTAAAATGAAAGTGAAGCAAAAACTGGGGTCGAACAAAAGTTAGGAAGTACTACGGAGGAGTTAGAAGGAAAAAGTTAATGGCTTGAAAGGCAAAATAGTTTCCTAGAGAAGGGGTTGAGATGAATTTGAAAAGTCAACTGCGTTTTAACTATCACATGGAAATTTGGGGGGAGAGAGGCAACATGACGCATGGCAAAAAGCACCGGAGTATCTTCTTTAGAAAAGTGTTAACACCTTTTTAAAATACTAAAATGAATTCTGCACCAATCTCATGTTGTTGCAGATGTTAAAGATTTGTTGTCTATAACTGGGTTTAAATACTCAAAAGATGAAACACATGTTTTTCATGAACTGAATTGATGACTTAGTCATTGGCAGGGTAAGAGGCAAGCAACATCAATGGCTTGCCATTCCTTAAATCCCTGAAAAACTATAAACAACTCAGGTTATAAATACGGAATAACAGGGAGTGGGGTGTGCCTGCAAGAGAGACAACTTTCAGGTGAGCTTTTACACATCTGCAGGGAAGGAGGGAGGGAGGCATTAAACAATGAAAGGCCTTAAAAGCAGCGTTTTGCCTCAGAAACTTACATGGTCTAACCTTGAGTATATTAATTTATCTGGCCTATAAGTACTAGTAAAGTATTGGTTAAATAAGTAAACGTCTTGTCTTGCAATGGATTTCAGCCCCAGGCAAATTCACTGTGGACTCGATGTGACCAATGAAATGACGGTAGAACGTTCTTGGAGTGAAAGGGTTATTCCCAACTTTGTTTACATGGTGGCTGGTCAATCACCAGAATCCTCTCCATTCAGAGCAAGTCTGCATGCAGCAAGCCAGTCTCTGTCTATGGGCCTGTGCCCTCAGTGCTGCCACCACTCCAGCCTCTGGTCTGGTCTGCCTCCTGCAGCCTTGCAGCCGTGCTACCGTGTAGCCCACAGTACTGGGCGGAGCTCTTTATATACAGTCAATAGCAACGCATTGCCCACACATGTGTAGGGGGCCAGCCAACCAGGGACAGGTGAGAATCCTGGCCACAGGAACCTTCACTTTATCCATGTCTTCTATTAAGAAGGAGCAGACGATAATAATAAAAATGCGTTAAACGCAGTGTGGTCACAATTAGTCTAAATGACCTAGGTCTAAGGTTTGTATTTGTCATAGATTTGCTAGCTCAGTATTAACATGTGCTACTGGGGAAACAAAATGGGACGCAAGAGAATTACCCAAATATTTACCAAAAAATTGTCAGCTGTTTATTAGAGTTTTTCAGAATTATTCAACCTCCTGCTTTACTTTGCCCCTAGTTGGCAACAACGGGAGGTTCACTGCAGCAGGAAGCAGAAAGAAAACAGACGGGGAAACTTCACTTTCTTGCTACAGTTAAAATACAATAGCTGCAGGTTATTGAGGTGTAAAGAATAGGGCCGTAGAATGCTTTAGGGTGAACTACCCATCAACTGTTAAGTTCCTTCATGGGACCATACATTTGAACATTGTAGGAGCTCAATATGTATTATTTGGACTGACTTAAAACTAGTTACTTGCTTCAATTTTTCTGGCCTGAAAGGCCTTAGGCTTGAGTCAAGAAGATCACAGTATAAATGGCTATCTTAATATGGAAAGCAGTTTTACCATTTATTAAAATTTGTTTATATTTTTATTACTATAACAGAAGAATTCTAGTCAAAAGCCTTCATATGAACTATCAGCAGATGAGTTTATATGACTGCCATATTTATATCCCTGTATCATTAATTCAACTGCTAACAAAGGGAAGGAAGAAAAAAAGGAAAAGAAAGGGTGGAAAAAAGATTACCTCCTGTAAAGCCAGGCTCAAGATTTCACCATCTAGTTTGTATCTATCTCTGACATCACAATCTTGACAGAACTAATGATTAAAACTTTTCATAATTTTTCTTCCCTCCAGCATACATTGAAACCATAGCAGAAAAAAATAACACAGTGGATTCAGAACAGGAAGTCTTGTGCATAACGCAAAGGAACTCAAGCAAAAAGAATGTAATTTGATGGTGAAATCAAGAAGGTTATTGATGCACAAACATCTATGTACAAAGAAAATTTTGATAGTAAAGGTTAGATGGAATTTTCTTTCTACCAGAAAGAACACCCAACCACCCAATTATAACTTCTTGGTAATTTGTTAGGGTATGGATTAAATAATAATTTAGGGGAAAAGTACTACCTACAAAATTTGCTGTGCATCTGTATGTGTATTCTTGGATTTGGAGGTTTCTTCAGATTGTTATTCAGCCTAGCTTTATGATACCATAGGCTGGAAATTTGTGGCCCTAGCTTGCAGCACCCTCCTTATGATAAAGTCAAACATATCTTTACTATTTATTGTCTTACTAACATTAAATAAAACATACATTAATAGCCTTTATACTAGTGGCATTTTTCTTGGGCCCTAGACTCTGAGAACAATTACAATTTAAGAGGAAAAGACATTGCCTGCTTTTACAGTTGGAAACTCAAAAGTTTAAAAGTTCACGTGATTAATGTTCTTCAACTAGTGAGTAGATAAACAAAATGTGATATATCCAAACAATGTAATACTGCTAAACAATAAAAAGGAAAGAACTATGGATACATACTATCACACGGGTGAACCTCAAAAGCATTAAGTTAAAGAAGTCAAATGCAAAAGACTACATATTATATGATTCAATTTATAAGAAAATGTCGAAAAAGGTAAATTTATAGAGCCTGAAAACAGAGGGAATAGGGATTGACTACAAATGGACCTTTTAAAAATTGGAAGGGGGAGGTGTGGGAACTGTACTAAAACTGGTTTATTGTAATTATTGCACAACTACATAAGTTTACTAAAAATTATTAAATTATATGCTTACAAGAGTGAATTTTATAATATGTATATTATACCTCAATAAAGCTGCTAAAAAAAAAGTTCACGTGATGTTCAGTATCTAGAAGTTCAAAATTATGCACATCAACTTAATACATTTTGGGCATTTTAAAATTCTTTTTTCCCTTGTGTATGTCACATGAGTTATAGAGACTTTGAAAAGGGCAACTCCACTTTCAGCCAGTGTCCTAGCCAAAGCATACTTTTTTAAGACATAAAATACTAAAATACAGTATTTAGCACAGTTGATGTGGACATAGACTAGGTTTGTGTATTTCCCCATCTCTATTTTGTTCTCAAGTAGTGTGTAAATAAGTAGCCTATTTGTAGTGTTCTCTTATGATAGTAAAATACTGTCATGAGACCGCAATGAAATGCATAACCACCCCATCCTACCTTTGTAATCTATGTAAGTGCATATCCCCAGAATTACTATGTCATAGCTGAATTCTGAATTGCTTGTCCAGATCAGGCCTCAGAGGTCAGTATGTCCCCTGAAAATAGTAGGTTACCATTTCAGTCATCAGGATAGAAGTAGGGGTTCACATAGGAAATAGACACAAGGAGATTGACTTTAAGCAGACAAGAGAGGAAATTACTTTTTCTAGCCCTCACTCTCTGGGGTTTGAACTTTGAATTGCTTGCTAGTAATGCAGCTAGAGGGAAAAAGATGACTTTGTCATGTAAAGGTGCTCAAAGCATTCCTTCTTGGAATGAAGCAACAAAGAGAAGCTATATGGAGAGCAATCAAGGCCCTTCAGCCAACAGCTCCAGCTGAACTCCAAGCTGAGTACCACATGAGAGTGAGCCATCTTGGATAGTGCAGCCAGGCAGAACATTCAGGTGACTGCCACCCTGTCAACAACACATCATATAAAATTACACAGTTGGGTCTACTTAAGCCACACCAAAATTATAAGAGCTAATAAGTACTTTAAGCCACTGAGTCTTGGGAATATTTGTTATAAAGCAATAAGTAGAAAATCAGAACATTAGGTAAAACATCATGTAGTTTTGGGTTACTCTTCCTAAACATATTACTTTTGTTCATCCAAAATACAAACTTTCAGAAATATTCCAGCCTGGTCACAGTTATCCTATAATATAGAATCCCTATAATTGGGTATCTATGTTAAGGAGGGTGACAGCACTGTATTTGGCTAGAGATTCTAAAGGAAAAGGGGATTTTGTGGGAT